CCTTCTCTCCGTGGCAAAAGTCCCTCGGCAGCAAATCGTCCCTCGCGGCGGCATATTACTCGCGTCGCTCACAGAAAAAATTACGCCCACGCCCAACAAGACTGCGAAGGAGGCTAGCAAAACATAGCCTTTGCGCCATCCATTTTGTAACGGGGCTCTTTGCAATCTGCTAACCCTCAAAATAGAGGAGAAGGTTACAAGGTGCGAGAAATTGTAATGACACGGTGGCACATGTAGAAAATTGAGATTAAACGGCAAGATATCAGATTGTTCCACTCTCTTTAATGACTTGTTGAGCTGCATTGAAGGCATCCAATTCCAGGCTGCGATTTCAGAGCAGCAAAGCTGGAAATATTCTCAATAAGGAAATCTTTATGACATTGACACATGCTGCCCCACGTTAGCACATTTGAATCAGTATTTCATACTACTTTGGGTATTTAAAACTGCAGAAACAAGCCCCAAGATGAGTCCTTTATTTTCTGGGTGATACCCTAAAAATCAGCCAAGGGCCCTTGCTTCCAGTAGCCCATTTTTCCGTCAGAGCATTTGGTATTTTTGCTCCATGAGGGTCAATATACTAGTACATTGGGGTAGTGTGGTTTCAATTCAATATGTAGGTAAGTGACTAGAATATTGACTTTGAAGAATCGAGTTTCCAAGCCCTAAAAACTGCACTGCATGCCCGTAGCCAGGATTTGGAATGGGGGGGGGGGGGTCTTCCCACTGCTTGAGGGGACCTTGAGCGCCGTAGGCGCGAGGTTCCTAGGGGGGTATGCTCCCCGGAAAATTTTGAAAAATGAACCTTCTAAAATGGCATTTCGTGCTTTTTTTAGAGGATTTCCAAGAAAAAATCAGAGATAAATTTTTATTCAATGACAAAGGGAGCAGTTTTTCTACGATTCCAGTCCATCTTTTCAAGAAAAATTTTGGACCTTTACCTAAAAAGTGGACCAAAAAGTGGACCTTTACACAAGAAGTGGACCTTTGAGCCTTGTGGGGGGTTCTTCCACCCCCCCCCTCGGCTACGGGCAAGCACTGGATGCCTTTAGGAAGTTTTCCCAAGCCAGGAATGTTTTCTCTAATAGCACTGATTAACCCCAGTTCCTGAGCTCTTGTTGTTTTGACCCTCTGACTTCTTGTGTTAACTCCCGAGCCGTCCTGTCAGTAGTTTGTTAACGCCAGTGTACCGGAACTGTTTCTCTGTTGTGAAACGTTAATACCCATGACTGTTGATCAGCCTAATGAATGCACAGACAGAGCACAATGTGTACGTAAGGACACAGCAAGTAAATTTTATGGATGACAGCCTCCACAGATTTCAAATCTAATGCGAGCGGGCGAAAAAAACAAGGTTCGTACATTTTGAAATTTTGACTCAATCATTGTACAAATGGTTTTGATTCAATAGGAACATCATATATACACAGCCAACATCACACATCACTGCATCAAAGTTAGAAACAAAACATGTCATAAAATCGATATCAGAGCCTTGTCTTGTCTCCTCTCTTTATAGTTATCTGCCATCCACGTTCCGGCATGGCAACAGACATCTTTACCCATTTTTGGCATGTTGACCACTGTCAGAAGGCAAAAAATATCTTGTGTTTTTTTCCAAAATCAAGCGAAAATTAATGCGCGCGCTAATGACATCCATAAAAATTACTTGCTGTGGCCTAATGAATGCACAGACAGAGCACAATGTGTACGTAAATGTGTTAGCCATGCGTTTTGAACCTGTTCGCTTCACTCAAGGGAGCAGTTCTTTTAAAAATTGCTCGTCCGCAACATTGCTACTTCGTTAGGCCACAGCAAGTAATTTTTATGGATGACATCAGCGCGGGCATTAGTTTTCGCCTGATTTGGGGGGAAAAAAGAAGAAATTTTGTTGCCTTTCGACAGTGGTCAACATGTCGATGGGCAAAGATGTCTGTTGCCATGCTGGAAGGTGGATGGCAGAACTATGAGGAGATAGAGGAGACGAGAAAAGACTCTGATTTATTAAATGTTTTGTTTCTTACTTTGATGCAGCGATATGTGATGCTGGCTGTGTATATGTGATGTTCCCACTGAATAAAAACCATTTGTACAATGATTGAGTCCAAATGTAGGAACCTTGTTCTTTCGGCCAGCCTTGTTTTTTTTCGCCCGCTTGTATTAGATTTGGAGTCTGTGGAGAATGTCATCCATAAAATTTACTTGCTGTGGCCTTACAGTCCTCTCTGTCCTCCGTCCTAGTCTTCATAAGGCCATGTTGATCTGATTATATGGATGACATCCACGCGCGCATGAAGTTTCGTCTGTTTCCAAAGACGAAAAAAGTTTTCGACCATACTGTAAATCGTACAAAGTAGCTGCAAATTGAGCAAATATATGCCGTAAATTGACAAAAAATTTTGGAAAACGATAAATCTACTTATGAAAATGTGAAAGAATGAAAATGAAGAGTCTATTATTCACCATGCCGATAAGATATTACTCCGTGTGTTTAGTCATTTGTTCAACCTTCATGACCACCTAGATTTTATAGTGAAGGCAACTTTTTTGCCGAACTTTTTTTATTCGCTCGCTTGCATCAGTTGTGGGGTTCCCATAGGATGTCATCCATACAATCAAATGAAAATGGCCTAAATGTAGATTTCTTAGGGTAGGATAGTTACGATTCTTTTGTGAAGTTGTAAAGGGGCTTAATATATTGAAAGAAAGTAACTGAGCTGTAAACGACAACTTGTGACTTCCAAAATTTCAGTAAATGATGAAGCGAAAAAAAAGGAAGAAACTAGTTTTAAAAACACGAAAGCAAAAAATTTAAGAAAAAAATTGACAAAAAAAATTAAAAAAGAAATGGATGTAGTAGTTGTTAATTATGAGTGGGTCATGAGTTAGCTTATTTTAGGGGACAAAATAAAAATGACCCACGAGAAAATGTCAAAAGTTCTGCTTGTGTTTAGCCTGGGTACCATCCTACTTGTATAACGGGGCTCCCATACTCGCTTCCCTAAGGGAAGCGAGTGTGGGAGCCCCGGCATACGAGTAGGATGGTACCCAGGCTAGCTTGTGTTGGCTTCACCATATTTCCTATACACTGAGCTGTATCCCGACAACAGTAATGTACAAAGGGTGTAGACTAGTGAAAAAATATGCCCTTGGGCAAGAACAGCCGTGTGACAAGATAGGACGTCATTTTCTCACGCCTCCTACGTTACTGAGTTTAAATCATAACTCGATGATACACAAAAACAAATACTTATTATTGCTTATTATCGCTGGATTGTCTAATCGAAATGTTAGCGTCATACGACTTCCATAATCATAAATGAAGCGAGGTTATATTATAAACTCAAACCAGTGAAGTTGGGTTCCCTAGTCCAACATTGTCTTCGTTCAAAATACATGTTGTAGTTCCATTCTTTTTATAGCAAGTTCTCTCTAAGAACATAGTGATTTCAATATTTTTTCCTCGGCTACAAGCACACGGAATCGCTTTGACGATGTTTGTGACATTCAATCTCTCCGAGTTGACATGCTAACACGCAGAGGTCATTCCCGTCGAGTGCCCAGACCGATACATCAACAGAGAGACGCGGCTGTGCCTGTGCTAAACACCGGCAGACGACCCCGTCAACATTCCGGTGCACATCCTTGCTGCCTATCTCCCAGTCTCCTCTTGGGACGCTGGCCATTTTCTGTAGCCTAGAAGCCAGACGTTTCCAAGGCATACACAGGCCAGCTCCTCGACTCCAGGACGCCCAACGAGAAAATTTGCCTTGGGCAGTTGGGGTCTTCCTGAGGCAAAATTTCGTCGGGAGCATGTCGGCCCTGGAGCCGAGGAACAGACCAGGGCAGGCTCCTAGTCTCCACCAGACTCCTTTGCAGGCTGAATAAATACTAGTAGTAGAAATCATAGAGGCCATAGAGGGTCCGGTTTGTCGACCAACTCCCCTGGCCAGCTACATTCTTTTTAGGCCGATTTCTGCTATTTATTCAGCCTGCAAAGGGGTCTGGTGGAGACTAGGAGGCTCCTGATGAAACAGGGTTCGAGGCTACACGCTCAGCTGTCCGCAGTCCTTCCAATGGAGCGTCAGCCCCCGGGTACATTACGGATGGACTTAACGGTGGAGCATTACCGGAACGCACGCGATGTGACGGACTTGTGCGGCCTTGTATGTGTGTTAGTCACCGTAGTACATGCAGACCAACAATTAATCTTACATAATATAAAGGCACCAAATGCAATTTCAGGGCGGGAAAACTGGAAATATTCTGAATAAGGCAATCTGTATGATATTGACCAGATATTGACACATATTATCCCACATTAGCACGTTTGATACGTTAGGCATTTAAAACTGCGGAAACAAGCTCCAAGATGAGTCCTAGCCGTTGTTTTCTGCGTGGTACCCTAAAAACCAAGCCAGGCCCTTCCAGTAACCGTTTTTCGTTAGAATTTTTGGCATTTTTGCTCCACGAATGTCGAGATACATTGGGGCAGTGTTGTTTCAACTTAATATGTAGATGAGTGACTCGAATGTTGACTGAAAAATCTGGTTTCCAAGCCCTAAAAACTGCACTGGATGCCTTTAATATTTCAGATAAAGAGTTCGTACAAGGCTCTTTTCTGAATAGGAATGTTATTTATACATGTTATCATTTCATTTTATGTCTTTATTATCTATATTTCATTTTTGTATTTTTCATCATTCATACTTCAAGCTTCGAATTTCTAATTCGTTATGTATTTTCCGCAGCTCTAGCAGCTCTAGCAATTATTGTGTATTCTTTTTCATAGCGGGAACATGTATATCGACAAGATACATGAATGTAGGTCATTGCAAAAATCTCTTCTCCGCCTCCATTGGGAAATTACTATCTAATGTGACTGAGTCACTGACCTACATATTTGAGAAAATAGAATAACATTCCTTTATTTGGTCCTGGCACGAAAAACGCCATACCAAAACGATCAGGTGCCCCATATTTAAACACAGACTTGACAGACGTTGACGATGTACTAATCGCCACCGTCTATCCTCAAACACGCCACAGTGCATACTTACATACTTACAACAGAACGTGTTGGCTCTTTGCTCGAGCCAGACGAGTAAGTTACGACCTTTAAACAAATACATTTGCTGTTCAAACAACGTTTTTTACACAGTGCGCTGTGGGTCTTTGCACCACACTAAAGTTTACTCCACCGATAGCTATTGGCTCACGCCCAACTTCAAAATAAACTGAAGAAATCTTGAAAATCAATTTAAAATCAAGTTTACTCCACCGATAGCTATTGGCTCACGCCCAACTTCAAAATAAACTGTAGAAATGAAATCAATTTAAAAGTTGCGAAAGAGATGCACTAAATGGAACGTAGCCATTTGAGTGACACAGATTCCATGGGACACCGGAACGGTATGGTTTACCTCCCCTGGCACTTGTTAAAGAAGCCAGATCGGGGCATATCCGACCCCGCATATGGGCGGGGGCTCTCACTCAGCCATTCCGGTTATTCCAGTGCGCCTCTCGGGGAAAGACCAGTGCATGTTTGGGGCCGTGGCTACGAGCGGAGCCAGCGGAGTGGAAACACGACCCAAACATTAGCGTGATCCCGTCCGACAAGTTTTCGATAACTACGTAAAGATTGCGGTAAGATCTCGCCATTCTGAAATGTCGTATTTGTGTCAGGGGATTTATGTAAATCAATGAATCTTGTACAGGACGAGGTTAAATCGTTCACGAATTGCCCGGGACAACCGCGGATATATATATTTGACTCAAGACCTGAGGTTATGATCTATATCGGTGACAAATGCGATATGGCCGCGAACATCATAAGTTCAACAAGCATGGTGTTTGTCGTTGGCTAACAATACCAAGGACGACGTGCCTGCGTTGTGTTGGCAACACAAGTCGTACCCAGTCGGAATGCCAGGATTCTGAAGGATGGGGAATAAGGACTCAAGACCCGTGTCGGTGCCCGTACACCGGCGGCAGAGGGCTAAGCCGCCGCCTCAGCCTGCTGTGCGCCAGAGCACCCCGAGGAGCAGCCCCGGGAAGACTCGGCTCACCCCGCCGCCGAAACCGCCCAGGGCACCCCGCCCGCCGCCGCCGGAGAGCCACGGCCACCACAGCCGCTCGCTACCACTGCCCAAGAGACGGGGACGGCACCACGGCAAGAACCAGAAAAACGGCCACGTTCCCAACGGAGCCGGGCGCATCGGACAGACAGGAAATCTGAGCCGTTCCATGTCAAACTTTGAGGTATGTACACTGCATTCTAATCACCCCCATAAAACATAGCCTTAAGTGACACATATATAGATCCCCATAGTACTACATAATATATCTTATACGGTTTATTTACCGAGCTCCAACTATGCGTATCAGTGACGAGCCCCTGCCAAAATAGAATGGACTCTTTGCATGATTAGATCAGATAATCAAAAGAAGATGATAGGCGGAATTCTATGGGCTTGTGCCTTCTTTATAGACTCCGGGCGGTCTACATTCAATATGCAGGTGTCACGCAGGGAGAGGTGAGAGCCAGGTCAGCTGTCAGTTGTACATGCATGATCGTACCCTCCCCTTCTGGTCGTCTGTAGAGTGCTGAAAGGGCCGTGTGGTGCCGCAAACTTTCAACAACTAGTCTAGAGGGATCTTTCTGTACAAGCCAGGTGTTCGGCGATACAAAACTCAGAGACACGCCAACCCCTGTCTGTTTGTGGTATAGTCTATTGAAGATCTATTGAAGAGTGGACTTTACTCGTCAATGGCACGTTTTATGAGAGCAGACTACAGGTGAAATTGCATTCCTCAGCTTTGTTGTGTTGTGTGTTGTGTCTGTCCAGGTGAGCGGAGCCATGTCGCTGCCGAGGACCGTGAGCGACACGGCCCTGCTAGGCACACCGCCCACCGCCGACATGGGGACCATCCTCCGCACGGAGATGACCATGGCTTTCCTCAGCAGGGGGAAGAGAGAGCTGGAGCTCGGCGGGAGGGCGATGCGCATCCTCCCGGACGCTCTGCTCTCCCTCTGGGACCTCCAAGTCCTCGACATCAGCAAGAACAAACTCCGACAACTCCCCAACAAGTTCCGACGTCTCCGGAGCTTGGAGACCCTGACTCTCAACAGCAACGAATTCAAGACATTTCCTGACCAGATTACCGACCTCGTTAATCTGATAAGCCTTGACATGGGATACAACGAGCTCAGAACGGTCCCCAAAGGAATTTCAAGACTAGCCCGTCTTGTGAACTTGATCCTGAACAACAACAACTTCGCGGAGCTTCCGGAGGAGGTGTTGTATCTGATTACGTTGGAAAACTTGAACTTGAGCTACAACGTGCTTGACGAGATACCGGAGAAGATCTACAGGCTACGGCGGCTTCGGGGCCTGGAGCTGAACAACAACAACCTGACACGCTTCCCCCTGGGCGTTCTGGAACTGTTCAATCTAGAGGTGAGTGTCGTCTGACGGAAATGATGATGTGTGTGGAACCATTCCAACATTTCCTCCATCTATTTGTGTACCCATTCACGGTAGCCTGGATGCCAGACCCATAGCACGCTACAAGGCCCAATAGCCAGTGTGCAAGATACTGGATAACTTTGGGCCTTGTGTGCTGTGGGTCTGGAATTCACAAAAGTTAGGCCCTGCGAGTTTATGTTGCATTCTTGCAGTTAGTCCTTCGTAACAGCAAATGAAGTTCACACAATTTTATTTTTCGCCAGAACAAATACTTGAAGGCCTAAATCCCATGCATGACTCGGTCGCTGTATTTTCTTCTCTGTCACCACATATTTTATTCCATTAGCGTGTGGTATTTTGAACATAACATGACATAGCATAACATAACATACCAATTCATTGCGCACCACCACATACATGCATCATTTATTATACACCATATCTCAATTCTGTTGCAATAACACCGGTGACCCCCATATGTATCTGCACTGTTTACTTTCTTTACTCTCTTTTTCTATGCCTTTGTCGTTTTTTCTTCTATATTTATAACTGTCTATACTATTATAAACGTCCATCCCCTACACACCGTGCCCTACATCTACTATAAACGTCTATCGTTTTGCAATCTTGGCAGGCCCTTGTTTTATCTTAAATTTGTGATCAGACCCTCTCTCTGCTTTCCTTATAAGGGTACGTATTCAACATCAGAGATGCCCAAACGAAATAATCATTACAACACTTCTTCTAACGAAAACCTTCTACTGAAATTATATGCATTTTGCTCCAGTAAACAAAAAATTGCACAGCGTAGCTTTGGTGAGAAATCTGTAATTAGGTCGCAGCAAGTAAATTTTATGGATGACATCCTCCACAGATTCCAAATCAAATGCGAGCGGGCGAAAAAAAACAAGGCGGGTCGAAAAACAAGGTTCCTACGATTGAAAATTTGACTCAATCATTGTACAAATGGTTTTGATTCAGTAGGAACATCACATATACACAGGCAGCATCACATATCACTGCATCAAAGTAAGAAACAAAACATTAAATCAGAGCCTTTCTTTGTCTCCTCTCTTCATAGTTATCTGTCATCCACCTTCCGACATGTTGTCCAGCAGATATCTTTGCCCATTTTCGGCATGTTGTCCACTGTCAGAAGGCAACAAAATTTATTGTTTTTTTTTCCAAAATTAGGCGAAAATTAATGCCCGCGCTGATGTCATCCATAAAAATTACTTGCTGTGGCCTTATGAGGAATAATGACCCCTATAATCAACGTTACTCATCATGACGTATACGCACAGTGCATCAGCCGTAACCAGTCTTTCTCCGTTGTTAAGACTATGTCAACACACCTCTGTGGACAGAACGGTTTGTCTAAAGACAACAAGGAACTCAAGCCTAACAGCCGAACGCTGGGCAAACCCTGCAACATCCTTTGGGACACCTTTCTCAATGATTTTTTAAACATTCAAGGACAGTCTCACCCCCCCCCAAAAAAAACACATGCACACAAAAAAATGAAAAACTTTTATGTACAAGTTAATATGTTATCCTTTGTTTGGTTAATGTTTCATTTGACAGACGTGTTTCATCTGTGCCTTTGGTGAATGGGTCGACTTGGATGGTTCCTTTATGTCTACGTTACTTGTGGAAAAGAAAAAAAGAATGAATATTTTTATAAGAATCAGTGGGAGACACCCCCTCTCAGGATATCCCACAAGGAAACGCCTTTTAAGGCCACACCAATTTAATTTGTTGGTTCTCGGATTCGCCTCTTCATTTTTTTCTGATTTGCAAAAAAAAATTGATTCTGGTCCTGAATCAACTGAAAAATGCTCATGTTTTGCCCCCAACAGTTGAGGAAAGTCCTTTTCTTCCTAGTTGTTACAGTTTTCCCATCTATCATTGCAGTGGTTTGATTAAAAGTTCAAAATTCAATGTTTAAATTTTAACCCAGCCTTTTGTGTTGACTTCATGGCTCATTTCGTAGCATTTAAGCTTATAATAGGATGCGTAGACCTGTTTTTATTTTTTATTTTTTCGCCCAGTCGCTTCATATTTTTTCTGAAAAAATCCGAGAACCAACAAATTAAATTGGTGTGGCCTAAAGCTGTTTTGAAAGGACAGCAAGTATTCCCCTTGTATCTGTGACACCATCTACATGCCGACTGACAAGCACTTCAAAAGAAGATCGGTTTTGATCCGCTGTGCTGTGTTTGAAGTATGGAAGTAGGGTTTAGCGCCCAGCTGTGTCAGTTATTGGAACCGCTTTGCAGCTGCGATGACTGGCACAGTACTAGTATATCATATGTGAATGGTGTGTGATGTGCTTTGTGGCGGATGGATTTTCTTGGCGTTGTAGTACAGAAAACGATAACTGTCTAGGCAAAGTAATCCTTTGGAATGAAGACGATTAGTGGCTATCCTTGTACTTTGTAATAGAGCAATGGAATACTTGTATAAAATTCTGTCATATACTAGTATCCTTTTCGACTGTCTCGTTGAAAAAAAAAACAGGACAAAAATCGTGCGAGGGGATGTGGCCACGCCTGTATTTCACCACAAGTCATTACAAAATGCAAATCAAAAATTGATTGACATACTACAGGACCCGGAGTAAGGCCACAGCAAGTAATTTTCATGGATGACGTCAGCGCATTGATTTTCACCTGATTTTTTTGGGGAAAAAAACAACATTATGGTCAACATGCCGAAAATGGACAAAGATGTCTGTTGCTATGCCGGAACGTAGATAGCAGATAAATTCGAAGAGACGAGACAAGACAAGGCTCTGATTTAATGTTGTGTTTTTTTTACTTGATGCAGAGATGTATTTATTTCATTCCTTTTATATTTGATGGGAGCGATGTGTATATGTGATGTTCCAAGTTCCAACTGAATCAAAACCATTTGTACAATGATTGAAAACTTTTAGTAAGTTGTTTCAGTGAGAAATGGATGATGTAATAGTTGATAGTAAACTCAGCACAAAAAAGGTATCATTTCTTGTTTAACAAGGTTAATGATGTCAAAATTTGAAAATGTAGGAATCTTTTTTTTTTGGCCGGCCTGTTTTTTTTTCTCCTCGCCATATCGCATTAGATTAAAAGTCTGCGGAGGATGCCATCCATAAACTTGACTTGCTGTGGCTTAAGTTACTAAGGCCGTGTTCATGTGAAGTCACCCAAGGCGCTTTACATGTGGTTTACCCCGAAGCCGGTTTCAAGTGGCTCCATCTGAACGCTCCAAATCACATTGAAAGCGCCTCGATCCCAAGCCACTTCTAGAGGTGGTTTCGAATAGGTTTTCCCGCATCGCGATTTGCGTCTGAACGCAATGTGATTTCAATGTGACTTCATTTGGTCATGGATTAGGGGGTGATATTTCTTTATTTATATGCAATACCAAATTTTACGTGTCAGCAACTTAAAGAGTAGTAATGGTCAAATAATGTGTCCGTTCTAGGACGAGCTTCACCGCCTCTGGCGGGACTACGTCGGCATTCGGCCGAGATACGCTGTTGGGGGGCACCAGGAAGCAGGTCGTTGACCTCTGACAATAATGACACGCTACCTAGCGTGTTTTCATCAAACAACAATGAATGTAGTTTCGGAGAATCGTGATCGGGCACGTTTTAAAAGGAATTTATGGCACGTGGACCAGATGTGAGGAATGTGAGTTACCCGAATCGCGGTTTGGGTGACTTCACATAAACATTATCCAAACTGATAACCTACAGGTCTCTGATAAGCACGTGTCACTGATAATCTCGTGACAGTTTGATGGCTCAAGGGCTCTGATCCTACTAAATTATACGCTTTGTCATACATCACTGACAAGATAGGAAGATAAAATTTTAGTACCGATGACAGTCATCATGTTAGGCCATGTTGATTTAATTATATGGATGACATCCACGCGCGCATGAATTTTCGTCCGTTTCCAAAAAAAAAAGTTTTCGACCATACTGTAAATCGTACAAAATGAGCGAATATATGTTGCAAAAAAGTACTGGAATGTCATAGAATGCCGAAATCAATTCAAGAAAAGAAGAAAATGTGAAGAACGTAACTGACAATGAAAAGTCTAGTATTATTCGCCATACCATACTCTGTGTGTTAAGTCATTTGTTCAACCTTTATGACCACGTACTAGATTTCATAATGAAGGAAACTTTTTTTTGCCAAACTTTTTTTTATTCGCACGCTCGCGTCAGTTTTGGTAGCCTGGTTACCAAACCTATTATAGCTCCCGAGTCCTACATCCTCTCCGCAACTCGGGAGCTATAAGAGATTTGGTAACCAGGCTACAGTTTTGGGGGTTCCCAGACGATGTCACCAGACTTGCCCTGCAAGTCGACATTTGTTTACGACACTGAGTCACTTTGGAGCTGCGTGTGACATGAAAAAAGTATCCTTTTGGTGTCATTTTTTCCAACAACCGAAACATTTCCACATGCCAGTCTCACGGAGTAACACACATGTATTTAGACCACGTCACTTGACCCTTGATAGACCTCAGGCATCACTCAGTGATCCGTCATACCCGAGTACACTTATTCAATAAACGTTCTGAAATGGTTTCCTGTCTTTTGTTTCCCAGGTGTTGAACCTGAGTTTCAACAAGATCGGGGTGGTGCCAGAGGATATTTCCCGCCTGGGCAACCTGAGCAAGTTGGGGTTGGCGAACGCCGGGCTCACCCAGCTTCCCGACAACATCTGCCGGCTCACGCTCATGGTCGAGCTCGACCTCTCAGACAACCGTCTGTCGGAGCTTCCCGCGGAATTTTCCCGCCTTAAACTTCTGAGGAAACTGGAGCTGCAGTGGAACGTCTTTGAAGACTTTCCCGAACAAATCTTACAGCTCAGAGGGCTGGAAATCCTCTCGTTGCACAACAATCGTCTGAAATTTCTCCCGCCAGGAATTGTCGGCCTGCAGCGGTTGAAGAAGCTGTGGATCAGCAGCAACCGTCTGACGACAGTTCCCTCAGGAGTGTGCGAGCTGCCCGATCTCGCCAGCCTCCATCTCTATGACAACCAGCTCATCTCGTTCCCACCTGGGTTCGAGAACGTGTCCAATCTGCCCGATCTGCAGATCTATCCACAGAGAAGCATCATATTTGGATAAGAAAACCAAGCTACGCTGTTGCAACATAAGAAAAGGGCGTCCGCATGTGAATACAAAGGCAATATCTGTAGTATTTTTTATCGCGCTGGTGCGAATAAAAGGAACCAGAGGAACTATCTTGAAAGCATGATTTTTTACAACCAAAGTTTAGTGCATGTTGAAGGATTTAACAAACGAATAATGTCATTAAAAGTAACGGTATCTTCATATTCTACGGCACTGGATTTTGAAAAGTACATGTAGTACTAGTAAAGAATGAAAAGAAGACTTTGAAGAACTCGCATCGAGTCCCAGTGGCATACATTCTATGTTGTCCGGCTGTTGTATATAGTGTTACATTCCTTGAAATATCGCCAAAGATTGTGCTTCTTTTTCTATACATTGCAATACTAGCGTGATGTGCTTTGAATAAAAACCACTTTGAATGACACTCGCTCAGGAAGCATCTTTTCACGTAGGTAGTAATGTGCTTCCCACTGCAGCGACATCTAGCTGCAGTGAGGAGTACACCAAGTAGAACCAGTCTGGACAGTTTCTCCTGCAGTTCTATGTTATTCCGCCAGATAGAGTGACAGATGTTAAACTTCATCAACTTTCTAGCATGTTTTGGTGGTCAGGTATACAGTCAGGCGGAATTAGAGTTCCTGCAGATGAAAATTTTGGATGTTAGTGAAGTCTGAAAATACTGGTTCCGTACAATTGGTAAAGATGGTCACTGTTTTCTCCAAGCAGATGTTGGGATGGAAGCTCGTCACAATTTTTCGCTGCCCAGTTTTTCTTAAAACCTGCTTTAAATAAGGGTATCGAGTCTATTGACTATTTTGGAGAATGTGGACCCATCCATACAAACAATATCTTCCTGACTGTCAGACACGAAGGTACCAAAAGAAGCTATCTAGAGTAAAACAAATGTAAAGTACAACAAGGCTGTTCTTAGAATTCTTTTTTTTTTTTATTTACTTCAGAATTCACCTCAAAACAAGGCTCGTGAGAGCCACTTACATGTTTTGGGTTACAGTGATGTCTGCGTGGTCAGATATTTGTTCACCCTTGATTTAAACCGTTGGAGGTTGTAATTAGCGGTGAAACATTCACGGGGAAGCTTGTTCCACAGTGAAGTGGTTCTGGGGAAGAAACTGTCAGCATGAAATTTTCTCTTGACTGATGGACTATTGAGGAAGAACGGGTGATTTTCTGCTGTTGAGGTGGCTAAGCGTGTTCTTGCAGAGAATGTTCTGAGTGGGGGTACGAGGGAGTGAAGTTCAGCAGAGCATCTGCCGTGGAAATATCGATATAGTAACGCGCCAGGCTTGCAACATCGCGCCGGTGTGAAAGCACTTACACACGTCTTTACTTTAAATTTCAAATCCGCCCCCCCCCCCCCCATTGTCGTACATTCAGCCTTTTAAAAGATAATGTAAGAAAATTACACGATGGTTAGTCACCACTTGGATGCACAAGGATACAGATGCGGGGATTATACCCGGTGAAATGCCTTTGTTTAGGTGTTTAGGACCCACAATGGATAATTAGCAAATTAGGCATAAGAAAATATCGATAACGACTGTCCCGAGGGCATGTTTTGCGATGGATATCTTTGAATATTTGAGACGAAGCGTAACACTTTTTCAATAGCTAATAGTGTATTTTATATGTGGTCTCGTTGAACAACCTGCGTTTACTAATGTTAAACGTTAGATTCAATGAATAAGACGGTGCGTTGGATTGGTTAGACTGGTTCTGTTGCAGTACCAAGGCCAGCCACCAGGAGGCCCAAATTTGACTTTCACCTTCATGGCTTCATCTTCCTAAGACCTACCCACATACCAAATATCATCACAATCCACAAAGGCCTTCTTACGTTATGCTGACCACAGGTATGCGGAAACACACACAGACACACGCACACACACACACAGAACAAAAATAATACCTACATTTTCACATAGGTAAATACAGTACCCGTATCTCTCATATTCGTTGAGTGTGTCTGTACGGAAGATATGGGGCGGAATGATACAGAACGACCTGGTGCCCCGATATCACTGATATCGTTATTGGACACGCGGCACTTTGTACAGTCCATCAGTCTTCCCTGCCAGCATTTCTGGGGAAGCACTTTGGATTAATCCAGTTAATGCAGTGCATCCTACAAAAGGTAACATCTGGTATCGACTTGGCGGTGACTGATTCCAGCCCTATCCCGAGCCATGTTGAGCATAACTCCGAGGAAACCACCGGCACTGCGCATGCTAGAAGTCGCCGGCAGTCACGTTTTTTTCTGTGACGCTCCTAGGTAACCCGAGCCGCTATTGTCTCTGTTGTATTTATGGACTCACTATGCAGCGTTTCGAGATGTTATCATGAGTTGGCATGGCAGAGTCGTGTGGATTTAAAAACATGGAGAGACGAGTGCGGATACGAAGCATCTCGTCCGAAGAGGTAGAACTGACTTGGGAGGGGCAGGAAACAGTCGAAGAGGAGGCGGAATCTCACGCCCCGAAACGCGGCTTGATTACCGAAGATTCAGAGGGGGGAGATCACGAAACGCCGCGGGCCGACGTCTCTCCGGCTGCCGACGAGATACCGACGTTCATTCCGGGCCTGGGGAAACGTCTGGGCGAAGCCGACCTCTCAATGGCGACGGAATGTCTGCAGGAGATCGATTCTAACCTCCTGGATAAGAGAGAAATGTTTGACAGGGAGTTCCTCGGTCGGGAGGTCAAGCTGACCGGGCTGTTACGCTTTGGGGTACTGGACACAGGCTTCACGTTTCTGGAGGACGATTCTTTTGAAGTTCCTCATGACATGACGGAAAAGTTTACAAAAGACACGGGAGAAAAATCCACAGCGGGTGTCATTATTTACACAGACGAGGACACCTTGCTACCCGTGGTCTCCTACTTTAAGATCAGGATAGAAGCTTACCCCGACGTGGAGACGACGAAAAAACGGAAGACTTCGGACACAGACGCCAGTAAAAGTTTTCAGCGACGAGCTTCTGATTTATTTATTCGAGTGTTCAAGACTTAAACAAGCAGGTAGCCATGCTGTGAACTGGATAACCCTATTGTGTAGCTGTGTATCTCATACTCTATACGAGGAACAAAGAGTGTATTTAAGTTGTTTCTAGGATACCTTTGAGTAAAGGATTCATCCGTAAAGGCCTTTGAGCCTGATCCGTCCAGCAGACCATTTCCTTCAAATGTTCTAAACGATCTTTTATTGCCTTCGACAGAAGGCTATGAAATTGTTTTGGTACTGTTTGGCAGATTGTGCACGATCAATTTTGAAGGCATGGTCCGAGGTTCACGATTTTTGGTAGGCAGGTTGCATTAGTGATGGGCATTGTCAGGGCCAAAAATGGGCTTCGTGGGGGGTTCTTACGTGACTGGAGCTGACCTTTTGTGTTTGCGTTTTTTGTTGTACTCTAAACAACTTGAGAATCCTTAAATGGTTGTCTATGATTTTGTTGTTGTTGCAACAGGGGCCGTACGTATAACTACCGTACGTAGGGTCTGTCTTTCTTACAACTGTTGGCAACAATCTGGATTATTTTTCTCATGCTATCTCAAGTAGAATCTTTTTATGGTTTATGTTTCTCACTCCTTGCTGAAAGATTTTGAGAAGATTTTGTGCCAGGAAGCGGATAAGTAGTATGATACTTGCAGGTACGGCGCCATATTTTAGCCTCCCAGATAGACAATACCTTAACAACCCCTGTGTGTGGGAGAGACTAAAACCCAGCAACAAAGAAGGGTTAATTATTTGGCTTAAAGTAAGAAAGGAGCGTGACAATAGAACAGGTAGACATGGTCCACTAATGCACCTCCATTGAATGACGCCACACACCGTGAAACACTCTGGTACACGTTTGGACATAATCACCGTAAGGCCATGTTGATTTGATAATATGGATGACATCCACGCGCGCATGAATTTTCGACCGTTTCCAAAAAAAAGTTTTCGACCATACTGTAAATTGTACAAAACAGTTGCAAAATGAGCAAATATATACCGTAAGTTGCAAAATAAATATTTGAAAACGATACCAACGTCGTAGAATGCCAAAATCAAACGAAGAAGACGAAAATGTAAAGAAATAAATTTGAAGAGTAGATTTTTCGTCATATACTCTGTGTCATTTGTTCAACCTTCATGACCACGTACATTTCATAATGAAAGAAACTTTTTTTTGCAAAACTTTTTTATTCGCACGCTCGCATCAGTTTTGGGGCTCACAAAGTATATCATCCATATAATCAAATCAACATAGCCTAACATTGCGTGCGTAAGAGCCTACTTTTCGTCACATGAATCGTAAGTTGTATAGAGAAGGGTAGACCTGTATAGAGACGTGTAGAGTTGTATAGAGACGTGTAGACCTGTATAGAACGGTGAAAACTAAGTTTTGAAGGGTGAAAAATTAAGTTTTGAACGATGAAAAATTGAGTTTTGAAGGGTGAAAATTGGGTTTTGAAGGGTGAAAATTTGAGTTTTGAAGGGTGAAAATTGGGTTTTGAAGGGTGAAAATGGGTTTTGAACGGTGAAAACCGACCCGATGAAGCCTTGTTGAAGTTGTACCTTTGGTCTTTCGTATTTATCAAAGCAGATGTTGGGATGGAAGCTCGCTACACTTGTCGCTGCCCAGTTTTTCTTAAAACCTGCTTTATAAATAAGGGTATTGAGTCTATTGACTATTTTGGAGAATGTGGACCCATCCATACAAACAATATCTTCCTGACACGAAGGTACCAAAAGAAGCTATCTAGCACGCTCGCATCAGTTTTGGGGCTCCCACAGTGTATCATCCATATAATCAAATCAACATGGCCTAACATTGCGTGCGTAAGAGCCTACTTTTCGTCACATGAATCGTAAGTTGTATAGAGAAGGGTAGACCTGTATAGAGACGTGTAGAGTTGTATAGAGACGTGTAGACCTGTATAGAGAAGGGTAGACCTGTATAGAGACGTGTAGAGTTGTATAGAGACGTGTAGACCTGTATAGAGAAGTGTAGAGCTGTATAGAGAAGGGTAGACCTGTATAGAGACGTGTAGAGTTGTATAGAGACGTGTAGACCTGTATAGAGAAGGGTAGACCTGTATAGAGACGTGTAGAGTTGTATAGAGACGTGTAGACCTGTATAGAGAAGGGCAGACCTGTATAGAGACGTGTAGAGCTGTATAGAGACGTGCAGACCTGTATAGAGAAGGGTAGACCTGTATCGAGACGTGTAGACCTGTATAGAGACGTGAAGACCTGTATAGAGACGTGTAGACCTGTATAGAGAAGGGTAGACCTGTATAGAGACGTGTAGAGCTGTATAGAGACGTGTAGAGTTGTATAGAGACGTGTAGAGCTGTATAGAGACGTGTAGAGCTACATAGAGAAGGAGAGACCTGTATATAGAGATTTAAAATTTGACACATTGAGATGTCATTGACGATTCCGGTTTCTGTACAATCGTCGTAAACCGTTCACACACAAAAAACAAACATACAAGCCATGTAAAAGCATTAAAATTTACCCCTTTATGGCATCTGTAATTACTAGTACATCATAAGTCCATATATTCAAAAATCATTTCATTTGGTGTAATACCTTTCAGACGATGAGACTAGTAATCATTTAATGGCAAAATATTCATTACCATTACTTAACAGGTCATCATTCATATCTTGAAAGTTCATCTGTGTTGGTAGAAGTCATCATGCAGCAAGTTTAAACTGTAATTTCCAACACAACAAAAATTGGACTCACCCAAATTCTCGACTGTACAACTCCAGTCTTTTTCAAGGAATGAGCAATCCACCGCTTCCGTGACGTCACGCAGATAACACACGTGACTCCGTGAGCAGTGGATCATAGGTTGCAGAAAGTCTGTGGCGCCCCCCGTCTCTGTTGAGGGATGGCTGTAAAGCCCTGATGTAGATGGCCTCTTTAATCCCTCGTGCAAAAAAGCCCGGTTCTGTGTCCTATGATCCACTGCTCACGGAGTCACGTGTGTTATCTGCGTGACGTCACGGAAGCGGTGGATTGCTCATTCCTTGAAAAAGACTGGAGTTGTACAGTCGAAAATTTGGGTGAGTCCAATTTTTGTTGTGTTGGAAATTACAGTTTAAACTTGCTGCATAATCTGTGGTAAATGGTGAAATACTTGATGCTGGACTTCAGAAAACATACTTTTTGTTCATGACACAAAGTTCGCCATTTCCCTGATGCCACAAGGTCAATTTTTTTTGCTTCAGACATTGCAAGCATAAGTCAGGGCGCGTTTTATCCAACACTATGAATAGTAGAAAATCTACAAAGAGTCATTTGATAGAAACATATGATTGTGATATTTCTCTAGCCGGCTGTAAGTAAAAAAAGAGCAAGTCAGAAGAAAAGCTGTATTATTCCATCCTCTGATTCATTGTACTTCATTCATCGATCACCTGTGCGACCGTACGGACACAATACAGCAGTTGAGAATGACCGTATGGACACAATACAGCAGTTGAACTTGACCGTACGGACACAATACAGCAGTTGACCGTACGGACAGACCGTGACCCGATGCCCAAACACGTGACCCGATACTATATAAACCAACGGTGTGTTACATACGGCAGTTATGGCCTCCGTCTACCTGAAAAGAGCACCGGAGGCCGTGAAGTTTATACTGTTGTGTGTAGGAACACCATTTTTCTTTGTCTGGTCTATTTTGCTCAGGGCAGCATGGTTCTTCCCGCCTCTCAGACGACAAATTTTGTCTCGATTGGAGATAAAATGGCAGACGTTGGTCCCAGGAGTATTCAAAACTCCTGAGGAATACCATCAGCTTTTGTATGAATTGACAAGCTTTGCTGCATGGTGAGGAAGGATCTCGTTGTCGTTAAAAAACCTTGGGGCTGAGGTGTTTGAGGGAGGCAAGGCGGCCGACTTCTCCCTCGTCAGGCTTGACGGGAGCTCCTGCCGGCTGCTCCAGCTCGCCCGGACGGCCCGCCCTCTGGTCATCAGCTTCGGCAGCAACACCTGACAGCCGTTCCGGGCGAAGTTGGACATGGTCAAGCGGATCATGTCGGACTTCGCCGCCGTGGCTGACTTCGTGGTGGTGTACGTGGCCGAGGTGCACCCCACGGACGGCTGGGCCATGAGCAAGAACGCTGACATCCGGCAGCACCGGAGTCTGGAGGAAAGACTGGCGGCGGCGGAGATGCTGGCTCTGCACGACATCCCCTGTCCTATCCTGGTGGACACCATGGACAACGCCGCGGTGCGCGCCTACGCCGCCATGCCCGACAGGTACGTATGCATACGGCGAGGCCTTATTCGTTGTAGGTCGTTTTACGTATTTGATGTTGTAGAATGTTCAAATATGCTGTGACGGAAGTTTGACAATCGTGTTCTGAAATAGGGTATTATACTGGTTAATCATTATCGGGTCATACGCGGCTGTGTACCTATTGGAACTGGGGTGTCCAGTAGGACATTGACACAACATGATTCAGCAACATGCGATAAATAAGTAAAGGTCTGTGCACCTAGTACCTGTACGTATACCAGTACCCGTAAAATCGTTTAGATATAAGGCTGGACCTAATCGTCTGGTGTACCTGCCATATTAAAACACTGGCGGAAATCATTTGTAAAGAATGGAGATAGGCAATTCTGACATTTTGACAATTTTGACAATTAAGCACTTGAAAATTAGGAAAGCTGACACGACAATTTATCAATAAAATGGACCAATTAGATACAAGTATAAATTACAGAAGACCAGTACATGAAACCGTCTTTTTTTAGGTACACAGTGTGCTTGCAACCGTTGGTCCTCAGAGCGTTAAATAAGTAGCACAAACGTAACCTTTATGGATTCGTAATTCTTCATTTCTATACGCCCAGTAGTAAACGTTTCTGTTCGTCGTCTCGACCGCAGGTTGTACATCGTGTTGGACGGGGTATGTGTTTACCAGGGCCGCCCGGGACCAGGTGGCTACCACCCGGAAGAAGTTCGCGACTGGCTGCAGAAATTCTCGGGATAAAGTGGACGGACTGACAGACTTTAGTTAGTTACGATGAAAGGTTAAATCTATATGGAACCGAAGTTCTTCCTACACAGTCAGTCAATCCAAGGACATCTCTATCAGGGTGTAATGAGCTCCTGGCCGCATGGTGGCGTGACAGCGTCAAGAAGGATGCGGTCCCAAACGTACTTTATATCCCTCCCGTCTATGGGACTCCATGTCCCGTCCAAATGTTTGACATTGATGTATGCTACTCTATTATTTTTGATCATCGGTATCTGTTTGCGACATCCTTAATGTTTAATAGTGTTGATCCTAATCGTTATATATATTTGAAATTATCTCAAATGCTACTATATTCACGAGTTTCTCATCCCCAGAATGCATTGCGAAGACAGGGGTCTAAACCTCATTTGCATAGGACAGGAAGGCATCGGAATAATCGCTGTCGTGAATGTACCTGAAAGAAAGACATATATTTAGGAAACACATGATAAATCAAATTGTGACTATGCAGGTTGTGACATATGACATGTGACAGTCCAGAACCAGAAGAGAAGTCAAGGTGGGTACATGGTGAGAGAGCATGATGGTCTCACAGGAAACGCCTAGGGCGCTGGTGAGAACCTGAGAACGAGACCGCCGTGTACTCGCCTTGACTTCGTTGTTGAACCTGTATGTCAATTAATACATCTAATTACAAATACTGAAATACTGATGCTGCAATAAGACAACGTGTATTGTCAAATTTGCACACATAGGGTCTGTTGCTCTTAATATAAATTTTTACGGCTCTCAGTGGCCAATATGAGATGTTGTCACATCGGCGCACCAAATCCGTAAGGTGTTTTTGGCACCCAGACAGACAGATTAGCCTTCATGTTGCTCTTCATACATACATAACCAGTCAATTTTAAGTAGGGCCGGAACACCTGTATCGAACGTTATGGCGGCCAGGGTATGACATAAATAATATGATCGACTGAACTGTCGTAAAGGTCAATGTCATTTGGCGAAGGTATGATATCGTGGAACTCTAGTTTCTGGTTGTACTAGAATTTCCCCGAACACGAGACCACCAGCTGAGAGACCCCCGATGGTGGGAAGATTGAATCAAAGATGACACTTGACTTATTTTAGGCACGAAATAACGTGCATGCTGCATGAAAAAATGTTATAAAGGAAGCACTGGTATGCAGGTTACCTGATATGTTCCCTGTGTTGTGCATTGGAGTATATGACGTAATGTTGACAAAAGCAGAATGAAACCTGTGCTTGTTCAAGTCAAGGGCATGATTCATGAAGCTAACACTGATGTTTAGAGACCTTTCAAAGATGCAGTAGAAGGCCATCATGTTGCGGGTGTGTGAGAAACTCCGTGAGGCGGACGAGAAGGGCAGGAGGTACGGACTAGCCCGTGCGGAGACAGGCTACGTCCGTGCCCTGGTGGACGCCATGGCCGACACGGACGTCGACAGGCTGAGGGAAGTGGAGCTGCTCAAAACTCTGGGCGACGTGAACTTGGAGAAAGGAAGACTCGGGAAGGACGAGGGAAAGTTCAACACAGCCTTGGCACTTTACAAGACCGCTTTTGTGCGGTCTGACCAAAACTGACTGTATCCTGGAGAGGCCACTCCATGCCAGACTACTGAACTGTAGCGGCAACACAACACGGGAAGCAGCAGATACCGGTTATAAACCTTCTACTCGATTGGCGTAGAGTAGGGTGCCAGGGGCTGCCTCCGTCGGTGGGAGAGATCGTCGCATCTCATTGGGCAGCTACCGCCCGCCTTAAGCTGGGCAACCCCCAGCCAGTAGGGTGTTGCCCCGCCACAGTCCGTCTGCCCTGCAGGGTGCGCTGGGCTTAGGGCTTGAGAGCCTGAAAGACGAACTGTATCCATTGTACCCAAGACAAATGGAAAGAAACCTACTCTTAGGCTGCTGGAATGTGCGAACATTACGATGAAACTAGTAATCATTTAATGGCAAAACATCCATTGCCATTACTTAACAGGTCATCATTCAGTTTCGAGGAACCTTTTCACCATTTCCTCAACTACAGTAGGTCGATGTGCTTCTGTTACTGTTGTAATGTATTCTAATACTCTATGTCATTTTTCGCCAGACAACTTCTGAATTGTTTAGGTTCGTCATACGTATCGCAATTGTAATTTGATGTGAAATAATTTATATTAATGTCAGCGTTACAGACGGATCAGTTTGCACAAATGGCTTCCGCCTACGTGAACAAGGAAATTTGTCTAATGCTCTATGACTCGATAAATTTTTGTCAGGCAATTGTTGCAGCGCGATTTTGACATTTCACATTCGTCATACGTACCGCAATTCTTATTTATTCACCTGAATATTCACCTGAATCCAGGCCATTAGGTACCCTTACTGGGTAATGAGGCCGTCTTCGTGGTGTAGACAGTTTGGGCATTCAGTAGAAGAAGACGTATCCGTATCTATCAGGGTGATCCTTCCACTCTATGGCCAACTTGGTCTTGAATACATTTACTGAGCTGCTGTTTACTGTGGCTGGTGACAGTTTATTCCAAATTGGGGTTGTTCTTGCAGGGAAGAAGTTGGACCTGGGTCCATTTGATTTTTGTACCTGGTACCTGTAAGCATGTCCTCTAGTCTTTGTCGATAAACTGGGCATGAACATTGACCTGTTACAGAGGTTACAGTGATTTTCTGTCCGCAGTTTATCAAATCCATGTGAGATCTTGTACAACTCAATCACATCAACTCTCAGTTTATCAAATCCATGTGAGATCTTGTACAACTCAATCACATCGACTCTCAGCCTACGGAAGTACAGTGTTGGTAATCCCAATACTCTAAGTCTGTCAGGGTATGGCAGATGTGAACTGCACGAGGCGCGTTGCCCTACGCTGCACTCTCTCCAGAGAGTCCTGATCCCTCTTTGTTTTTGGACTCCAAGTAACGCTCGCATATTCGAGGTGGGGTCGAACAAGGCTTTTATACAAGAGCAAAAACGATTCCACATCCAAGTATCGGAAAGTGTGCTTAATAGTTCCTAATACTTTGTTTGCCTTGTTGACTTGTCCCTGGACATGCTGAGTAAAGGTCAATTTGTGGTCAATTAATACCCCCAGATCTTTCTCCTCGTTTGTAGTACTCAGTGTGTGGGCTACACCATTCTCTTTCATCATTGTATAACTGTGTTGAGGGTTGCGTTTTCCAAGATGCATAACTTTACATTTGTCTGGGTAGAATTTCATCTGCATCTTGAAAGACCATTCCTGTAAGATGTTCAAGTCAGCTTGCAGACATCTAAGATGTTGACTTTTTTCACACTCTTGAACAGTCGTGTAAATCTTAGTGTCATCTGCGAACATTGACACAAAGTTATGCAGACTTTCTGGAATGTCACACACAAATATCATGAAGAGTAAGGGTCCTAAAACTGAGCCCTGCGGAACGCCGCTAGTGACAGGTTTCCAGCTCGAACTTTCCCCATTTACAACAACCCTTTGTCTCCTCATGGTCAAGAAGCCTATGATCCACTTAAGTAAACTCTTGCCCACGCCGAAGGACTCAATTTTTCCAAGTAGACGTTCATGTGGCACTGTGTCGAATGCCTTAGCATAGTCAAGAAAGATCACGTCAACGGGTAAGCCATGGCTAAGTGCCTCTGTCCAAACATCAAGAACCTCTAACAAATTTGTAACCGTAGACTTCCCTTTAGAAAAACCATGTTGTTCCGGGCACGCCAAGTTATTTAACTTGATATGTTCAATTACTGTGTCTGAAATTACCCTCTCCAGCATCTTGAAAATTACTGAGGTCAGGGATACCGGTCGATAATTTGCTGGGTCTTCTTTACTCCCTATTTATTATTTGATTTCAGATAATCAATATTAATGTCAGTGTTGCAGACTGATAAGTCTGGCAGCAGAAAAAGTCATTATTCATCATCATGCTCTTCCTGTATTGTATGAAGACGTAATTTTAGGCGTGATCAGACGTGATCTTGCGTGTCAACTGGTCTCGCGAGATTTAGCGAGAGACATGTTTAGAACTGAGAAGACAGGTTGTGGTTGTACTTTAAAAAAATCTGAGGTAAATGGTGAAGTACTTGATGCTGGACTTCAGAAAACATATACTTTTTGTTCACGACACAAAGTTCGCCATTTGGCTGATGTCACAAGGTCAATTTTTTTTGCTTCAGACATTGCAAGCATAAGTCAGGACGCGTTTTATTCAACACTATGAATAATGAATCTACAAAGAGTAATTTGATAGAAACATGATTGTGATATTTCTCTAGCCGGCTGTAGGTAAAAAAGAGCAAGTCAGAAGAAAAGCTGTATTATTCCATCCTCTGATTCATTGTACTTCATTCATCGATCACCTGCATGTGCGATCGTACGGACACAATACAGCAGTTGACCGTACGGACACAATACAGCAGCTGACCGTACGGACAGACCGTGACCCGGTACCCAAACACGTGACCCGATACTATATAAACCAACGGTGTGTTCACCTTTGTTACATACGGCAGTTATGGCGTCCGTCCACCTGAAAAGAGCACCGGAGGCCGTAAAGTTAATACTGTTTTGTGTTTTAACACCATTTTTCTTTGTCGTCTCTAACTTGCTCAGGGCAGCATGGTTCTTCCCGCCTCTCAGACGACAAATTTTGTCTCGATTGGAGAAAACATCAGAGAAGGTGGTCCCAGGAGTATTCAAAACTCCTGAGGAATATCATCAACTTTTGTACGAATTGACTAGCTTTGCTTCATGGAAGGGAAGGATCTCGGTGTGGTTAAAAAACCTTGGGGCTGAGGTGTTTGAGGGAGGCAAGGCGGCCGACTCCTCCCTCGTCAGGCTTGACGGGAGCTCCTGCCGGCTGCTCCAGCTCGCCCGGACGGCCCGCCCTCTGGTCATCAGCTTCGGCAGCAACACCTGACAACCGTTCCGGGCGAAGTTGGACGTGGTCAAGCGGATCATGTCGGACTTCGCCGCCGTGGCTGACTTCGTGGTGGTGTACGTGGCTGAGGCGCACCCCACCGACGGCTGGGTCATGAGCAAGAACGCTGACATCCGGCAGCACCGGAGTCTGGAGGAAAGACTGGCGGCGGCCGAGATGCTGGCTCTGCACGACATCCCCTGTCCTATCCTGGTGGACACCATGGACAACGCCGCCGCGCGCGCCTACGCCGCCATGCCCGACAGGTACGTATGCATACGGCGAGGCCTCATTCGTTGTAGGTCGTTTTACGTATTTGATGTTGTAGAATGTTCAAATATGCTGTGACGGAAGTTTGACATCGTACAACAATCGTGTTCTGAAATAGGGTATTATACTGGTTAATCATTATCGGGTCAGACGCGGCTGTGTACCTATTGGAACTGGGGTGTCCAGTAGGACATTGACACAACATGATTCAGCAACATGCGATAAATAAGTAAAGGTCTGTGCACCTAGTACCTGTACGTATACCAGTACCCGTAAAATCGTTTAGATATAAGGCTGGACCTAATCGTCTGGTGTACCTGTATATCAAAACACTGGTGGAAATCATTTGTAAAGAATGGAGATAGGCAATTCTGACATTTTGACAATTTTGACAATTAAGCACTTGAAAATTAGGAAAGCTGACACGACAATTTATCAATAAAATGGACCAATTAGATACAAGTATAAATTACAGAAGACCAGTACATGAAACCGTCTTTTTTTAGGTACACACTACACAGTGTGCTTGCAATCGTTGGTCCTCAGAGCGTTAAATAATTAGCACAAACGTAACCTTTATGGATTCGTAATTCTCCATTTCTATACGCCCAGTAGTAAACGTTTCTGTTCGTCGTCTCGACCGCAGGTTGTACATCGCGTTGGACGGGGTATGTGTTTACCAGGGCCTCCCGGGACCAGGTGGCTACCATCCGGAAGAAGTTCGCGACTGGCTGCAGAAATTCTCGGGATAAAGTGGACGGACTGACAGACTTTAGTTAGTTACGATGAAAGGTTAAATCTATATGGAACCGAAGTTCTTCCTACACAGTCAGTCAATCCAAGGACATCTTTATCAGGGTGTAATGAGCTCCTGGCCGCATGGTGGCGTGACAGCGTCAAGAAGGATGCGGTCCCAAAGTACTTTATATCCCTCCCGTCCAAATGTTTGACATTGATGTATGCTACTCTACTATTTTTGGATCATCGGTATCTGTTTGCGACATCCTTAATGTTTAATAGTGTTGATCCTAATCGTTATATATTGTTGAAATTATCTCAACTGCTACTATTCACGAGTTTCTCATCCCCAGAATGCATTGCGAAGACAGGGGTCTAAACCTCATTTGCATAGGAGAGGAAGGCATCGGAATAATCCCTGTCGTGAATGTACCTGAAAGAAAGACATGCATTTAGGAAACACATGATAAATCAGATTGCATGTGACTGTACAAGTTGTGACATATGACAGTCCAGAACCAGAAGAGAAGTCAAGGTGGGTACATGGTGAGAGAGCATGATGGTCTCACCGGAAACGCCTAGGGCGCTGGTGAGAACCTGAGAACGAGATCGCCGTGTACGCGCCTTGACTTCGTTGTTGAACCTGTGTGTCACTTAATACTTCCAATTACAAATACTGATGCTACAATAAGACAACATGTATTGTCAAATTTGCACACATAGGGTCTGTTGCTCTTCACACATACATAACCAGCCAATTTTAAGTAGGGCCGGAACACCTGTGTCGAACGCTATGGCGGCAAGGGTATGACATAAATAACATGATCTACTGAACTGTCGTAAAGGTTAATGTCATTTGGCGAAGGTATGATATCGTAGAACTCTAGTTTTTGGTTGTACTACAATTTCCCCGAACACGAGACCACCAGCTGAGAGACCCCCGATGGTGGGAAGATTGAATCAAAGATGACACTTGTCTTATTTTAGGCACGAAATAACGCGCATGCTGCATGGAAAAAATGTTATAAAGGAAGCACTGGTATGCAGGTTATCTGATATGTTCCCTGTGTTGTGCATTGGGCTATTGAACGATGACGTAGTGTTGACAAAAGCAGAATGAAACCTGTGCTTGTTCAAGTCAAGGGCATGATTCATGAAGCTAACACTGATGTTTAGAGACCTTTCAAAGATGCTGTAGAAGGCGATCATGTTGCGGGTGTGTGAGAAACTCCGTGAGGCGGACGAGAAGGGCAGGAGGTACGGACTAGCCCGTGCGGAGACAGGCTACCTCCGTGCTCTGGTAGACGCCATGGCCGACACAGACAGGCTGGCGGAAGTGGAGCTGCTCAAAACTCTGGGCGACGTGAACTTGGAGAAGGGAAGACTCGGGAAGGACGAGGGAAAGTTCAACACGGCCTTGGCGCTTTACAAGACCGCTTTTGTGCGGTGTGACCAAAGGGAACGGGGAGATGGTATAGAACACCGCTACCACTACACGGAGAGGCTTTTACAAGGGGTCTCTTCACAAGGTAGGAAACAGCCAACTTCGGAAGACAAGGAAACGTCTACACCTTCAAGGGTAGCGGCAAAGTTCCAAGATTTGGACAAGAGACGGGCTACCAGAGGTAACACAGACTCTTTGCTGGTTGGATACGCACAGGTGGTGGTAGAGGCGATGGTAAAAGATGATAATATGTTAGAAACAGAAGCGATCAAGGGTCTGGGTGACGTGTACCTGAAAAGAGGAAGAGAAACTGGAGACACAAGAGACTTCACCAGAGCTTCTGCTCTGTACAACAGGGCACTGGCCCGGTGTAACAACGTCCATGTAACAGTTGTCATTGTTCACCGCTTACTGCACACCGCAAAAATTAGGCAAGGCATCATAACAAGAAAGAAGGTGAGCTCACGGGTGAACTATTTTTACTTGAGCATGACGGAACTCGTCGGTGCTGACTAAGCCTCTAGATTTAGACTCGGGTTGTTTATCTCCAAAATTTCCGTTCCACTAGTTGCGAAACACGTATTACTTCTTCTTTTTTTATTCATTGAAACAAGAAAGTACAAGACACAGAGGTGAAAAACTCTAGCCGAAGCTAATATTAATCACACCACTGACATAGAATACAAAATACAGGTATGACAATGACAAAACAACAAATGAGCGTTCGTATATACAAGAGTAACGGCAATATAAATCATTAGGCAACTGTAAATCGTTGGGTATTAAGTATAAAGGTTTGAGTAAGAATCAGCTTTTTTTGTTGACTTCAAAAGTCTTCAAAAATTACTTCTATAGATCATATTCTACTAGAATGATACCACTAACTTCTTATATAGATTTATTCACTCTCTTGTCTCAGCCTAAAAAGTGCGCTTTGGGTAGAATGTGTGGAGGGAGCAAGGGGCCAGTTGCTGGCTTAGGCATTTAGGCAGGCAGGCAGGATTTTGTATCTTTGAGGACAGAACAGTTTGAATATTTTTGACTGTGTTTGCGCTAGTTAGGAAAAGTACTATTGCGTCCAAATAGTCAGTAATGCTCGATTGGACAACCAGTCATTTCATGATACTGTACTTTGAATTGCCCTTGCACGAGTCATGTTTGGTTCTTTGCCATTGGTCCATTCGTTAACCATTCTTTTGTACATTAAATAACACGATTGCCCACCTACTAAATAACCATTGTTTCATATTTGCATAATTAATGAGAAAATGTTATAATTACATAGTGGTAACTGCCTGGAATTTCATACTTGGGTATTTGAAAGTTATGTGAAGGTGAAAATAATTAAACATAACTTATTCAAATAAGGACCTCATTTGCATGATTTATGAGGAAATACTATAATGGCATTCTTTGATAAGATAAGACTATTCTGGTGTAGAATATGATCAACAGATATAATTGATGCAATATAGGACCCTATTTGCACAATCAGGGGGATTAATCTATAATTTCTTAGTCATAAAGGCTAACATCATTTGGCGAAGGTATGAGATCGTAGAACTCTAGTTCCTTTTGGTTCTCGTAGAGGTCAACACCACAACAAGACGTGGGAGGACGAAACGACCACTTAGCTGCACCCTCAAGTAACCAGACCACCAGTCAAGATGACGACGACACGTTAGTGCTATGTTTCCCTGTCTACTGTATTAAGTGCTGTTGCTGTTTCCAATCTAAATAACTCTTGAATCAATATGAATATCGAGCCAGTTAGTATCATGTAAAGAAAATTTTTTAATAATGTTGAATCTGGCAAAAATAGAAATTTTGATAAAGGAATAATAACGATTATATTTATCATAATTAGGCGACGTTCGAAAACATGACCAGAAATTTATTACATATGTCATTAAATGTTACTGTGTATAACTTTGCTTTTTGACGTTGTCAAAGGACTAAATTGTAAAAATCTATGTTACAATTAGAAAGGTAACATTTGCAAAGCAAGTGCATAATGTTTACCTTCGCACATGGTCTGCCCTGTTAATTTTTACTCAAATACATTCATATATATGGTCAGACAGGAAATTCCTCCTTGCTACATTATGTAACCCACCACCAGTTACCATGGTGACAGACGTCAACAAATCAGGTCATTGGCCAGGTCAGAAGTTAGTGTTTGGAGAAGAAGAAGAGTAAGAGGAAACTGAGCAAAACAATATGTTTTCCTTCGGTAAACATAATTATAATGGATGCTTGGCATTCTATTTATAGTGCATCTGTCGCCTTTGTACCGGTGCAATAGCTCAATTGATAGAGTGCTCGCTTTGTAACCGGGAGGTCGTGAGTTCAAACCCCGGCCGGGTCATACCAAAGACTTTAAAAATGGTTCACACTTCTTTCTCTGCTTAGCACTCAGCACATATGGGAAAGAGTGTGGGAAGGTCAAGCACACAGCACTACCAGCGGACTAGCCCCCTGCTGTAGTGCCCTGCACGACTGTGTGTCGCCCAAGGGCTACGGAAATGGACATGGTCACCAAACCCTATGCTCTGCATAGACCTTTTGTCGCCTTAGTGAAGTACGTTTCTTTCAAAACATGTTCCGTTTTTTTTTTTCAGATCCTACCGTGAATACATCAAAACGGCAGAAAGTGACTTGGAAAATGGAGATCTGAACGCAGCAGAACAGAAATTAGCAGACGCCCTGAAACTTGTTCACCGTATGTTATACACTTTCCATGCATACAAAATCTAATTATACGTACATTTTCCATAAAGTTTAAAGAGGTTTCAATTTCAGTTGAATATGTACAGTTAAAACTTTACTGGTGATTTAGTTGCATGATTTCATCTATCACTAGTTTTGTTATAGTTTCATATTTGTAAACGTATTTGAACTCTATGACATCAGTAATATTTTTTCATCCGTAAACGTAACCATAGCACCAAGTATCACTGCTGAAGTTTCATTAGTTCTGATCTTTTTAACTTCATTTAAATTCCTACCTACAGATCGCAGTAAACCCAACAAGACTAAAGAAGCCGACTGTCTGTGCAGGTTGGGTGACGTCTACGTCGAGCGAGGTAAGCGGACAGGAGAAGGTAGGAAATTCACACAGGCAGCAGCTCTGTATAACGCCTCCATGGCACGGTCAGATGGAGACAAACAGAACATTGTAACACGACTGCAAGAGACAGAAAGGCAGTTTCTTAGACACACTTGTGACTTGGACTGTGAACCGTGCCCGTATAGCAGCGCGTTAGATCACATCAAGGAACTGCACAACTCGCGCGCCCGTGTAAAATCTCAGCTCGAAACAGTTCATGAAGAAAATAACCCTTATAAGTATGATGAAGACGATCCCGTCGTAAAACAGATAGAAATCAAACGAGCCGAAGCAATCACGAACCTCTTCAAGACCATTGCAGTTACAAGACAAGAGTTTATCCAAGCACTGACGGAGGAATGCATCGCCAAACTCGGACCTCCTCCCTGTAAGTACGCTTTCATCGGGTTGGGGTCACAAGCCACAGAACTGGTGACGCCGTACTCCGACCTGGAATTCGCCATTCTCATTGAAGAAGGGGAGGATGATGATGATACACGGAGGTACTTCTTAAATCTCACACACTACTTACATCTAAAAGTTATTAACCTGGGGGAAACCATCCTCCCAGCCATGGCCATCCCGTCACTCAACGACTTTCTCTCAGAAGACCCAGAGAAAGATTGGTTCTTTGACTCCGTCACACCTCGCGGCTTCGCCTTCGACGGATTCATGCCATGGGCTTCTAAGACTCCGTTTGGAAGAGACGAAACCAAAAGCAAACCATCCGTTAGTCTCATCCAGACTCCTGCCAAGTTGGCCGAATATCAGCATATGCACATCGCCCTGGCGGAAGGCTATCATCTGTCTGACATCCTCAGACGGGTGACCTACTTAGCAGGAGACAAGTCTTTAGTGGAAGAGTATACGGACAGAGCCAACAAAAGCGTAGATCGCTCCTCCGTGCTAGCAAGGTTGTCAGTAACATTCGAGGATGATATTCGGCAAATAGAAAGTATTGAACCAACGGGGAAACTTCTGAATGTCAAGAAAGAAATCTACCGTTTTCCCAGCGTGGCCGTTGATGTGTTGAGTACTCGATGTGGTCTTATGATCCCCAGTGTGTGGGGGTTGATAGAAGAGTTACACAAGACGCAACAAATCAGTCATGAAGATGCCCACCACTTGACTGTACTGATCAGCATCTCAGCGGAGCTACGGTTAAGAACGTACATTGCCAACGGAGGACAGAAGGACAGACTGTCTCCTCTAACGGAGATGAAAGTTCAACTTGAAAAACATGACGTAGATAACACCTTCGTTGAGTCAGTTTTCTACATACCAGATTCAAAAATGCTTTTTAGGTACTACTATACTGCCATCCCACTAAAAGGATGCATTACCGATATAATTGCAAATAAAAATACAACGGCAAAGATATTTAAAACAGAAATCTTTGACGCCTCATTTCAAACAAGGGGTCAAATAACACAAGAGCTGTTGCAGTTAGACGCATCCATACGTCACTATGAGGCAGCACTGAAAGAGGCGGGCGGTGACAAGGAAAGACAGTTAGAAATACTTTTTGCAATAGGCAATGTCTGTAAAAGTCGCGGTGACTATAAGAAAGCGAGCGGCTACTACGAACGAGCACTTAGCTTTGGAAACTCTATGTATGTAGGCACCGAAATGCGTGTTGCATTGCATGTAAACATTGGGGTATGTTGGAATGAGCTTGGAGATCATAGGAAAGCTATCAGTTATTACGAACAGTCACTGAAAATGATGTATGCTATCTATGGCAAAACAACGCCACATCTAGACATTGCTTCATTACTAAGCTGCTTTGGAAACTGTTGGAGGGGGTTCGGCGATCAGAGAAAAGCAATCCGGTATCACGAAAAGTCACTGAAGATGAGGAAAGCTATCTATGGCAAAACAACACCACATCCTGACATTGCCTCATCACTAAACAATATTGGAAACTGTTGGAATGACCTTGGTGATCAGAGGAAAGCTATCCGCTATTACGAACAGTCACTGAATATGGCAAAAATTATCTATGGCGCAACAACTGCCCATCCCAACATTGCTTCATTTTCAAGCAACATTGGGGCATATTGGAATGAACTTGGTGATCAGAGGAAAGCTATGAGGTACTACGAGCAGTCACTAAAGATGTGGAAAGTTATCTATGGGGACGGTGCGAAACATTGCCATATTGCCTACTCACTAAACAACATTGGGAACTGTTGGCATAAACTTGGCTACCAGAGGAAAGCCATCGGTTATTACGAACAGTCACTGCAGATGAGTAAAGCTATATTTGGCGAAACAACACCACACCCCGACATTGCTTCATGGCTAAACAATATTGGGAACTGTTGGCATAAAATTGGCTATCAGAGTAAAGCTATCAGATATTACGAACAGTCACTGAAAATGAGGGAAACTATCTATGGCGAAACGACGCCACATACTGACATTGCTTCATCACTAAACAACATTGGGAACTGTTGGCATAAAATTGGCGATCAGAGTAAAGCTATCAGATATTACGAACAGTCACTGAAGATGAAGAAAGATATCTATGGCAAAACAACTCCACATCCCGCCATTGCAATATCACTAAACAGCATCGGGAATTGTTGGCATGAACTTGGCTATCAGAGGAAAGCTATGAGTTATTACGAACAGTCACTGAAGATGAAAACATCTATCTATGGCAAAACAACGCCACATCCCGCCATTGCTACATCACTCAGCAGCATTGGAGACTGTTGGCGTTCCCTTGGCGATCGGAGGACAGCTATTAGTTATCACGAACTGTCAGTGAAGATGAATGAAGCTGTCTATGGGAAAACAACGCCACATCCCGACATTGCTTTATCACTAGGCAATATTGGAATATGTTGGAATTTGCTCGGCGATCAGAGGAAAGCCATCAGGTATCTGGAACAGTCAGTGAAGATGATGAAAGCTGTCTATGGCGAAACAACACCACATCCCGACATGGCTAAATTATTAAACAACACTGGAATTTGTTGGAGGGACCTTGGTCATCGGAGGAAAGCTAGCAGTTATTTCGAAAAGTCACTGCAGATGATGAAAGTCATCTATGAGGACGATGTGGCGCATCCCTACATTGCAACAGTACTAGACAACATTCAAACCCTCCACGATTAAAGTGAAACCGCAAATCGGCAAACAAAATTAGCTAACTGCGAATGCACTATATCAAATACCCAGTCTTGACATATCATGTCATTATTTACCCTTAAATATCAAGTATATTGTATGAAATACAAAGTATGACAACTTACGTAACAATTATTACTCCGTGAAGGAGGTCAGGACCTCCGGACGGAGTGTTGTGATCGGCTGATTTTTCATGTTCGCAGTCAAAACACTGGGTTCTCTTTGTGTAATCGGCACGCAATTTTATACGCCGTCTGCGGGCATGCCCGTGTTGATGCACGAATGTGTATTTTTGCCGTTGCTGCTTTCGCGGTCAATGTAATATTGCAGACGCACCCCTACAATTACGAGGCAAATTGGAATGGTCCAGAAAAACGCGTTGTTTGGAATAGCAGTGGGGGGGGTGTAACTTCATGCAGATACGGGGTGGTTTTGATAAGTGGTTCCAGATGTTTTTGCCCATGGTTAAGAGATGCCAAGTTTTTTTGGAAGATGTTCGCAGCCAAAACGCATTCTTCCGTACGTCGCATTTTTGTGTAATTTCGCATGTGGTGTGGCATTATGTCCGGGATGATGCACGTCTTTTTATTTTTACCTTAGCTGTTTTGATATTGGAGTAAATGGTTATTTTCGAAACATCCCCATGTCGTTGAAATGTTGTCGTCCGTTTATGTCACCGGTAGTAAGACGCGATGAGGCTGATGGGGACGGAAATGTGGGGTGGTCAGAGGTCAACATTAGGAAATGTTAATACCGATGACGTAATCCTATCGATTTCAAACTGGTGGGGTGTGGCGACCTAGTGGCGGCGTGTATTTAGTCACGTAGCAACTGGCCGGTCGCCCTAGCAACGAGCATGCTGGCCGCTTGACTGTACACATTGGCAATATTTTTGGGTTGGGCCGCTCCATAGTGTTAGTGGAGCAGCTCTTTGTAAACATGGACAATATTTTTGAGCAACCCATCAATGTGTTCTGCCTCGTGGTCGGATGTGGTCTGGGGCTGGTAAACCGCACATACTAGTAGATCGGGTAATTTTATGATTTGCTAGTTGTAAAGGCGTCTTGTAGTATGAGCCGGTATATGAAGAAGTAGCCTGTACATGTGTTACACAATCATGCTTTCGACCGGATTGATGTGCAACTGTTACTAATTACAGGGACTGCGCTAATGCCGACTGGTTGCTTGGCCAGTCGCGCTGTCCTGATACACCGCGAATGTTGGTCATTATGCGAGTGTTCCCTGTAGACAGTCCCGGGAGTCATTTTTTTCGCACATTCGCACATTCCAGGAGCCAAACGTTCATGAACCGAGTCCAAAAAACCGAAACGTGAAAATCGGATGATCGGGACCTGATGTACATTTCTCTTTCTGTAGATTGTACACACAATACACACATCTTTAGATAATCTGGCCATGGCAGGTAAAAAAAGGAACCCTGAATCATACTAGATTAGCGAAAATGCATGTTTATGCGTTCAAAACAAGAAAAGAAATTGTTTCCCGGTATTAATCTCTTGAAACACGGCGCTGAATATTGACGCAAAAATATTTCGGGCATCGCGCGCCCTTCCCCGTTGTTTAGACTGTATGCAAATCCCGCGTCACGTGTCGGCATTTCTGATCTCTGATTGGTTGTTGCGTCTTAAGATGACTGAGCCGACGCGCGATTAAACAATTTTTCTTTGTTCGATTTATCACACTTCACAGAGAATTGTCGCCAATGGCTACTTCTTTTTGTTGCAATATATAATACTTCACGGAGAATTGTCACCTATGGCTTCTTGTTATTTATTATAGGACACTGATCTCGACTATAAAAGACTATGTAGCATGAGCTGAGGCTACATACATGGATGTTCATGTGCAGCATTTGGATGGGATTTGAAACACTTGAACAGTTAGTTACCTAACATTTAATTATAAAAGTACGTAGTCCATGTTGCAAAAATATTGGAAAACAATACTAATGTCATAGAATGCCGAAATCAATTCAGGAAAAAAGAAAATGTGAAGAAATGAGAATGAAGAGTCTATTATTATTCGCCATACTATGCTCTTTGTGTCTAGTCATTTGTCGAACTACGTAGATTTCATACTGGAGGAAACCTTTTTTGCCAAACTTTTTTTTCATTCGCACGCTCGTGTCAGTTCTGGGGTTCCCAGAGGATGCCATCCATATAATCAAATCAACATGGCCTAACCACTGAAGGATATACACGACGTTAACGGTTAAGTACACATGATAGCCATGGCTCTCCGCTCTTCATATTTTAACCTTCGCTTAAAGCTAAAAGTTCAGTTTGACGGGCTTAAGAGCCACGATATAATCAGATATGTACACACCACACGTATCATTTCACACAACTATAGTGTTATATTTCATTAAAACACAAGATACAATGATGCTGTAGCATATTGAATACGTCTAGAACAAACAAGGAAAATCGTAGATTCAAACCTCCGGGTTTTTTTGTATTGTATTGGTTTAGGTTATTTGTTTGTGTGTAGTATGAAAGTTATGTGCGTAATATGTTTGTATGTGTTTGATGGCTACTGACGGTTGGTTTGGTATGGACTGTTGATTAACGTGTCTGACAGCCTACACCGTCACCCGCGCCATTACCCCCGCCGTCACCCAAATTTTTTATCGGAACCAGACACCCCTCTGTTTGACCCCTTTTGAATGCTAAGACCCAAAACTGCAACCTCCCCATTCCTTAACAACATGGTAAATTCCATTTTCAGCATGGCGGGGGTGTCCGGAGCACTTAAAAACCTTTTATTTCGACGCCCATAAGCACATATGCAATTAAACAAAAACGTTCTGCATCATCTGCAGCCCAATAGCAATACGTATACCGAACAACAGACCAATCCGTCCAGCCGATCGCGAGAAACAGCTGCTGACAGAAATGTTTCGAACAAGCCTGAGGCTATTGACAGGACGGTCCTGTCAATAGCAGAAAATATTGCACTGCTGACAGGACGATCCTGTCAATAGCAGAAAATACTGCACTGCTGACAGGACGATCCTGTCAATAGCAGAAAATACTGCACTGCTGACAGGACGATCCTGTCAGCAGTGCCATTTTTGACACTATTGACAGGATCGTCCTGTCAGCAGTGCCATTTTTGGCACTATTGACAGGATTTTTTTAAATCTTCCATTTTGGGCTGTATTGACATGATTTCTTCATGTTTTAATTTTTTTAACCATGTTTTCATTTTTTTTCAGTCAGAAGGCATATGCTACTGTACTGTAGATTAGGCGTTTCACGATGGCGGCTATCATCGCGTTAACAGCTAGTTATTATCATTACAGAGTACTCCAGCAGATACATGTCAAAACTAGACATGCTCAAAATATAAATATAGGCGAATTTCACGCATAAGCTGTCTGAAATACGAAGGCAGCTGTGTTTACATAGTTTTTCGAGTAAACAGGCGGGCAAACTTTCTGCGAGCTGTGATTGGCCAAAACTCCCCCCCCCCCGGCCCGACTCGATACGTCTGCTTGGATCCTTGCATGACAATGGAATCGAAACCGGCATTGGAAAGGGCATCCACAAATTCTATGGCATTGTCTGTATAGTTGAAATTTATGTTATGTACCAGTAGATG